CATATTGTGCTCCATGCACTTTTCAACATTAATGGTGCATCACAGAATGCAAGTTACCTTTGCCAAGGGCACTGACACAACCTCATACCATAACAGACACTGGCTTCTGGACTTGTTGCTGGTAACAGTCTGGATGATCCTTTTCTTCTTTGGTTCAGAGCACATGGCATCCATTGCTCCCATCAAACACCTGAAATACTGATTCATCTGACCACAGTACACGTCCACTGTGAGATGGTCCATCCCAGATGCCTTCAAGCTCAGAGAAGTCAACAGCGCTTCTGGACACTGTTAACATAGGGCTTGCTTTTGGCACTTGACAAAGGTTTGCCAAAGTAGCCCTGAGCCCATGGGGTGATATGGCTGGTGGATTCTTAATGCAGTGCCGCCTGAGGGATCGGAGATCACGGTTGTTCAGCTTAGGCTTGCACTCTTGTCCTTTACACACTGAAATTCCTCCAGATTCCTAGAATCTTTTAATGACGTTCTGCCCTGTTGAAAGTGAAATATCCAAATGCCTTTCAATTTTCCTTGAGGCACATTGTTTTTAATCATTTTGAAACTTTTTCTCATGTATTTGTTGGCAAACTACTCCGACCATCTTTTCTCCTAAAGGACTAGACCTTTCTTGGATGCTGCTTTTGTACCAAATCATAATTAAAATCACCTGGGCCCGGTTTTTCAAAAGTAATCCACTAGGATTTTGGATAAGGGATTGGATCAAATCTTGAAAATGGGTTTTTCAAAAGAAAAAACGGATTACGTAATCGGATTAGATCACATAATCCAATCTTGGTTTTGATCCAGATCAAACCTTTAGTTTGGGTTTTTCAGACCTTTTTTGTAGGATCTGGATCACTTTGATCCAAAAAACCTGGATTAAACTGATCCCATCAGAAGGGTGGATTTAGCGTGGATTTCATGCCTAAAATTTAAAGAAAACTTAAAAAATGTATTAAACAATACTATTTTTGGATCATGCAGTATCTTACGAGATATACTATTTATTCATAAGGTTTTAATTTTATTTGTTCATCTATCAGGTTATAGTGATTATTGGCTTTAACGTATTCAGCCTTTCAGTATAGGCCTACAGCAAAGTAGAAAGAGTTTGGCCTCATAAAATAATCCCCCAAACAGCTGTCAAAACTGACCAAAAACAATTAATTTTATTCTGACACTAATTGATATATATATTCATCACAATGGAAAATATTTTTCTTTTTAGAATATTTTTTAGTGATGCATGCAATGATTACAAAATAAACAAAAAATGCAAAGAATGGCAATGACTGATTTTTGAAATCTCTTTCAACAATTGCAAAAAGAGACTGAAAGGGCAGAAGCACAGCTTCATCTGGCAGAGAAACAACTGAATCTGACCAAACTGCAGCAAACCAAGGCCAATAACTTGAGATCCGCCTCCTAAAGGATACGCTCAGACAAGCTGCTCTCTCCACATCAGATGAGGAAGTCTGAACTCATTGTGGAGTTTTTGACATTAAGTCTTTTTTTTATTTAATCTATATTTGAAACATTTTATAAATATTGTCAATGTACAGTGTTGTAGGTCTCAGATGAGCGGACTGCAGGAAGAGGATGGGGTGGGCTTTTTCTTGTTTTTATTATTTATTATTATTATTAAGTTAATATTTATTACATTTTCTTAGTTTTCATTTTAAAAAAATAAAGTTAAATTGACCCCACGCTGGCTAGTCTACTTGTCGCTCTTCACATATCTATAGTTCTACATTGTGATTTCCTATCCTGTTTGAGCACTGGTAATCCAGATTTAGTGATCCTGAAAAATTCCTATCCGGATCAGATTGATCCAATTCGATGTTGCTTTGAAAAACTGGCTCAAAAAGTAAGCTGGATTACGTGATCACTGATCGCAAAAACAGAATTATTAAATCTGGATCAATTTGATCTGGATTAAACCTTTTGAAAAACCGGGCCCAGTTGACATCAAATCACATCTATATTTCACCAATTCACCAGATTACTAGCCCTAAACTGCTCCTGTCACAACTTGTTTTGGAGTGTGTTGCAGGTCTGAATGTCAGGAAAGGATGTATATTTACAAATGAAATAAAGTTGACCGGACAAAACATGAAATAGTTTGTGTTCATATTGTCTGTGATGAAATACAAGTCAAAGCATTTGTCTTTTTTTTTTTTTTTTGCATTCTGTCCCAACTTTTTTTCTGATTGGGGGTTGTATTTGTAAAGCATAGTAATGCTTGCTTGTGTCATTTGCTGTGATGATATGGGAGTAGGAGGGGCTAAAGATCTCTTTTGGCACACCTTGTGACTCTGATTGGTGGAATGTTCTGTAAAGCATTATGGGTGATGTAGTTTTTCACATTTGATTACTGAACTTGATCGTTTCAACAAAAGCATATACAAAAGCTTTACACAGCTAATTATCAACGTCAGAGCTCATAACATGTCTGTTTATAAGAGTTTATGAGTATGATTTTTGCTGGCAGAAAATGAAATTTGTGGTGTATCACCTTGAATGCCTGTATTTCGAGCTAAAAAGGTGTAACAGTTTGCCAAGCAAATCTAAACCCCCATCCAGTTTATGCTGAACCACAGCACAGAAGTACAAGCAGAACAACAGAAACTTCCACTGGCTCAGGCCTTTCCTTCATTTATCCCAGCCTGTGCAAAGCAAAGCATGCTGGGTATGCAAAAAATAAAAAATAAATAAATAAATAAAAACGGAAAAAAAACAGAAGCAACATGTAGAGCTACACACCAGCAAGTAACTGTATTGAAGTGGCCTAGTTTGGTAAGACAGGAAAAGTAAAACAGTTAAATATACACTCCTACAATTTGATTTTGCTGCTTTTTTCTACTTAGTTGATTACATTTGACAGTTTAATAATAATATTAATAATAATTCCTTACAATTTTATAGCAATTTTAATGGACACTGAAAGCTCTTTACACATTTTTGGGGGAATGTCCTCATCTACCATCGGTGTGCAGCATTCACCTCTGACGTGACAGCAGCCATATTGCGCCAGACCACACACCACACACCAGCTGATTGGTGAAGAGGAGACAGTGTGATGTAGCCAGTTATGATATGGGGAGGGTTAGGAGGCCATGATGGACAGAGGACAGTGGGCAAATCTTGCCAGAATGCTGGGGTTAAACCCTTACTCTTTTCAAAGGACATCCTGGGATTTTTAATGACCACAGAGAGTCAGGACCTCAGTTTAACGTCTCATCCGATTGACGACGCTTCCTGAGCACACTGTAAAAAATCCAACTTACAAATTGGTAACTCAGATTAAAATCGTAAGTTACGTGGACATATTTTTGTGATCAGAGTTGAATTTACTGATAAAAATTATTTAACGGCATGCTTGGAACTGTTTGTTTAATGAAAGTAAAAAATTCAGCTGAGGAGTCTTTAAATTTTGATTTCTTCATTTAAGCGTTTTAGTAAAAAAAATTAAAAGTTGAGTTAACTTAAAATTTTAAAGCAACTGGCTGCAAAGAATTTAAGCTTTAGTGGTTGAAGTTGTGCCAAATTATTCCGTAAAATATACTTGACTTAAACCAGCCTTTTCAGTCATCCTAAAAAAAATGATTAAGCACAACTTCAACCAGTAAAGCTTAAAAGACACAAAGTTTATTTGCAGCTGGTTGCTTTAAATTTTCAAGTTAACTCAACTTTTTTTTTTTTACAGTGCAGTAAAGAGTCCCCTTCACCATACTGGGGCATTAGGACTCACACAGACTGCAGGTTGAGCGCCCACTGCTGGCCTCACTAACACCACAACTGGCAGCAACCTAGCCTTCCCTTGTTGTCTCCCACCGACCAGGTGCAGCCCTGATTAGCTTCACGCACCTGTCAGTCAATCAAGCGGAGAAATTAAAATGGTCGTGCCCAACTGAGTCTGGTTCTCTCAAGGTTTTTTTCTTCACTCCCATCAGGTGAAGTTTTTTTTCCCTCTCCGCTGTCGCCACTGCCTCGCATGGTTCAGGATTGGTAGAGCTGCGCATCGATTAATTTGCTCTTCAGTGTTTGAACTCTCAGTAATGATTAAATCACACTGAACTGAGCTAAACTGAACTGAACTGAACTTAAACACTAAAACCTGAACCACACTGTTCCAGTTACTATGACCATTTATGTGAAGCTGCTTTGACACAATCTACATTGTAAAAGCGCTATACATATAAAGCTGAATTGAATTGAATTGAATCAGCATGTCACTCTAAAGGGTTAAACAAATAACACACAGCACAACTACGATGACAAAAAAGTTTGCGCTGTTATAATTCACTTACCTTTTAACATGTTTAAGTGCGATTATAACCCGCTATTAAAAAAACAACAACAACAACTGAATGTTTTGAATGAGAAGCTGTAATGTAGCCAAGACGGGATGAATTTTGGTGTGGCGCCCTGCCATGGAAGAATAAATGTAGTGGAAACCATGAAATATGTTTTAATTATTAATAAATTCATATTTTATTATTTAACATGTTAAAATTTATATAAATAAAATAAATAAAATAATGTGTATAAAATTTAAAATTGAATTGCAATAAAGCATCAAAGACCTTGACTCAATTTCAATACATTTTGGAGTATTCTTCACAATGTTCACGCAGAAATGGCTTGCAAATTTTACAAAGGATTCCAAAGAAAACTTTACACCACTCTGGACAAAATGTAAAACAAAGAAAGACACTTTGTACTTTCTTTTAAAATAATATCCACTGAAAAGGCTGTTCCTCCAGTTAAGTTTATTCTGCATCATCATATTTCAGTGTATGAAAATACACTGAATATTATATTAATATATTAATATGTCATGCTGCATATTAATAATAATAGCAATAAAGCTCAGAGTTTTTACCTCCAGAGAAGTTGAGGCTCATTTCCTGAGATGCTTCTGATGCCCCGAGTGCAACGTATCTGCGGCTTTCTTCACACCTGTAAATAATAAATACAGATGGTCAAAGTTCAGAGGTCATGAGGTCAGTAATCAGACGCGGCCATCGCACTTTCCGAAGGAAAAAGCAAAAAAACTGAGCCAGAGCAACTGCATGAAGATTTCTAAAATCATCCTGGCCTCAAATATTGTAACTGAGTGTTTTAATTTAACACTGATTCGGGTGTATCTGAATCCCTGCAGACAGTCGGTCAGAACTGTTTACTGTCATCTATTCAAAGAAATTCACTCAGACTCCATTTCTCAGTTGAACATTTACTGATGATAAGTTGTGGTTTTCTGAAACAATACAAAAATAATCTCACATAAGCAATTATATAATTAACAATTACAACATCAATAACAATACTTATAATTATAAAACATGAATACAAATTGCAGTAACCGCATCATATGAATGGAAACATTTAGAGCAGTTGTTCCCTAACTGTCCGCAAGAGGGCGCCAATAGATCACTAAACGTGGCTGAGGCACATTTTCCAATGAAATAATAATCAACATGTATATGTAGTAAATAACTCGACAAAACGATTACATTTGTACATGTAAAGTGTTAAAATTACATGCATTAGGCATACTGCATATGAAAACAAGTTTAATTATCAACTATTATAAGTTACAACTTCAAATTCGGCCATTAGACGCTATTGCGTTATGGCGCTATGGCGCATTTCACCCGCGATCTAAAATAAGGAGACATTTACATCAACAAAACCAAATACACTTACTTTCTGTGCACGCACAACTATATACATCATTGGTTGTGTTAATCTGCATGCAACGTGAGCAGATAAGCAGACAACTTTGACTTTGTAGCGATTTCAGTTCGGCTCTTTGTCTGCTCTGCACACCTGCTTCTCTTCCTTCTCTAAGTCCCGCCCATTAAAGTGACGATGCACTTGCGTATCAGTCAGCAAGAGAATGTTCCAGAAGCCTTTTGAACAGCCGCCCCCGAATTCAATAATTGAATTCGCACATTTACAAAAGGTTCTTTCCTTAAAGTGGATCAATCTTTAACAAGGGTTGGCAGCTTAACTAAACGTGCTACTGGTCGGGTATATGTTTTCCTTCCAACTTGTACAGTGGCTGATCTTACTCTGTCATCAGCTCCTGGATGTACTTGCTCGATTTTCCCCACTGGCCATAGAGCTCGAGGGAGCTGAGGATCGACAATCATCACTACTTCGCCAACCTGCAGGTTTTCCTTTTCTGCTTTCCATTTCTGCCGAACTTGGAGATTGGGCAGGTAGTACTTAATAAAATGCCTCCAGAAGTGGTCTGCTAACAGCTGGCTGTGTCTCCAACGGCGTCGGCTTATCACTCCTGAGTCCTGATACACCACCTGGGGCAGTGAGGCATCTCTGCGGCCAATGAGGAAGCAGTTGGGAGTGATTGGATCTACATCAGAAATGTCTGATGATGTGTAGCTGAGCGGTTTTGAGTTAAGTATCCCTTCAATCTCAGTTAAGACTGTCCTTAAAACTTCCTCCGTCACAGTCTGTGCCCCTAGTGTAACTTGGAGAGCAGCTTTAATTGAACGTATTTCTCTCTCCCAGCATCCCCCGAAGTGGGGTGCTCCCGGTGGATTGAAGACAAACTTAATTTGTTGGGAGGCAAGATGACTTTGGAGCTCACTGTGCAAGGCGCCAAGAGATTCCTTCAACTCTCGTTCTCCACCTTTGAAGTTAGTGCCTTGATCACTTAGTAACTCGTATGGCTTTCCTCGTCGAGCGATAAAACGTCTTAAGGCCATTAGGAATGAATCAGAATCTATACTGGCCAACAGATCTATATACACTGCCCTGGTCGTGAGGCACTTGAATATTATGCCCCACCTCTTCTCATTTCTCCTTCCGATCTTAATCAGGTAAGGTCCAAAGCAATCCATCCCTGTTGAGAAGAAGGCAGGTTTATAGAGCTGTTGTCTTGCAAGTGGCAAGTCTGCCATCAGGGGAACTTCTGGTTTCCCTTTCCATCTACGACACTCTGCACATTGATGCTGATGTCTCCGAACTGCTTCACGTCCTCGTAGCACCCAATATGTTCTCCTCATCTCTGCGAACACTCGTTCTGATCCAGGGTGATGTAGCTTCTCATCATAATCCTTAATAATGAGTTTAGTTACAGGATGGTGGGAGTCAAGGACTATGGGGTGAGTACAGTCCAGCTCTGCTTCTGTGCGATGTCTTAAACGGCCACCTACCCGAATGAGACCAGTGGTAGGGTCAAGTTCGGGAGAGAGAGAAGCCAATCGGCTTGTACCTGATACTGGTTTCCCGGACTTTAGTTGGGCCATCTCAGTAGGGAAGGATTCAGTTTGGATTTGACAAAGAACAAGTTGTTCCAGTTGTCTTTGTTCATCAGCACATGTAATGTTGGCCGCCCCGTATAGCTGCTGATTACACGCTTTTATGAACTCAGTCATTGTCTCATACTGCTGTGGATTTGGCAAGGGTGTGACTGTAATTGCTCCACAAAACACAGCTGGCCTTAGTTCGTGCTGCTGCTCTTCAGCAAGCAAGGATGGCTGCTCTGGCCAAGTCTCCACAGGCAGCTTAAGAAATGAGGGGCCTTGATTCCACTGGTCACATTTGACTAGGTCACACAGCTTTTTTCCTCTTGTGATACTATCCGCAGGATTGTCCTCTGATCGTATGTATTGCCAGCTTGCAGAAGCTGTGAGTTCTTGAATTTCAGCTATTCGTGTTCCCACAAACACCTTGTAACGACAAGAACTTGACAATAACCAGGTAAGTACAGTCGTGGAGTCTGACCAGAGGGTTAAGGAACAGATGGGTAATGTGAGCTCTGTGACTAAGACCTTGGAGAGCTGGGCACCACTTAGAGCTGCACACAGTTCAAGGCGAGGTATAGACTGTTGCTTTCGGGGGGCAACACGTGACCTGGCTGCTAGAAAGGCAACTTCAACCTGTCCTTCTGTGCTTTCTGTCCTCAAATAGGCCACAGACCCATAAGCCTTCTCCGACGCGTCACAGAATACATGTACATCTCGTCTGCTAGTTGGTACATCCATGTCTGGACTGGAGTAGCATCTTGGCAGTGTTATCTTGTCTAGCTCACACAACTCCTTCTCCCATGAATTCCATAAACTGAGCAGATCTTCAGGCAGTTGTGGATCGTCCCAATCACGCTTTTTATCCCATAGACGCTGCACTAGTATTTTCGCTCTTGTGGTGTAGGGGATAATATAGCCAAGGGGATCGTATTGGCTGGCCAGGATAGAATAAATGCTGCGCATGGTTACTTTAGTACAGTTCACTTCCCTGTGCTTGTAGTGCAAAGTGTCTGACTGACAGCGCCAGAGCAGTCCCAGGGTAGATTCTTGGGTATCTTGCAGTCCCTGACTAAGCCAGAGCTCACAGTTATTCGATCTTATATCACAGGGAAGGTGGGCGACCACTGTTGGACAATTGCTGGCCCACTGACGCAGTTCAAAGCCTCCTTCATTCAATAGGGAACAGAGCTGATCAACAAGATCTTTGGCTCCATCTTTGGAGGGGAGACTGTAAAGACAGTTGTCAACATAGAATGACTTTTCGATCACTTCCCTCACCTGATCTCCGGGTTGACTGTGGTCTTGTACGTGTTTTTGGAGAGCAAATGTGGCACAGCAGGGACTGCATGTAGTCCCAAAGGGAAGTACCTGCCACTCGTACACTTCTGGGGCTTGATCTACAGCAATGTCTCTCCACAAGAACCGAAGCAAGGATTTGTCTCCCGGAAGCAGCCTCACCTGATGAAACATCCCTCGTATGTCGCTACTCAGAGCTGTTGAGTGTTCTCGGAAACGTAGTAACACTGCTAGCAAGGTGGGGCTCAAAGTGGGACCTGGTAGTAGCAGCTTATTCAAATTTTGTCCCTCATACTGAAATGAGCAATTGTACACAACACGATTCTTGCCATTGTGGGTGACCATATGGTGAGGGATGTACCATGATTCTTGTGATTTCTCAGCTTCACCTGGTTGTAGTTTCTCCACATAACCAGCATTCTTGAGTCTCTCAATTTCAGCTTTGTAAGCACATGCCTGATCAGGTGTTTTCATCAGCTTACGTTCAATGCTTCTGAGCTGTGGCAGTACAGCTTCTTTAGGCATGTGCAGAGTCGGCATATGTTGTACACGCAGCAGTGGTGTTGCATATCGCATAATTCCATCCACATTAACTCTTACAGTTTTCTCTTGTAGGAGCCGGATAGCCTCATGATCAAGTTTTGACCGGGTCACTACTTTCTCATTGCGGTATGGGATTACGTCCATCTGCCATAGCCTTTCTACTTGGGCAAACAGTTCAGCATTATGAGGTATAGCGGTGAAGAGGCATTGGTGAGTATTGCGGCCATGCTTAATCTCGTGTGTTGGGCCTTGTAGTGTCCAGCCTAGTCGAGTTCGTACAGCAGCAGGTCCACCTGGAGGGCCTAGACGAACAGGCTCAATTGGGGTCACCAAGTGTGGACAATCTGAGCCAATGAGCAGTACAGGTTGGACTCTGTCTATTTGCTGCAAGGGTAGCCCTGCTAAATGGCAGTACCTCTTTTGGAGGGAAGCAACGGGGTGAGATTGTTCTGCCAGTCCAAGTCTTTCTGCTGTAAAGGCACCTTGAATGGAGAATTTTTTGTGTTTGTTACTGACAGGGGACACTGTGAATGAGACTGCCGCCCCGTGAAGAACCTGTTGGTCCTGCCTCACCGTCCGCAGTATTAGGTCCTCTGGCTGCCCTTTCAGATTTAATTCCTGTGCTGCGGTATGGAGCAGGATGGTCCTCTCCGACCCGTCGTCCAAAACAGCATATGCCTCAATGGATTTGTCTCCATTGGTAATGATGACTTTGCTCACCTTCAGAAGTACTTTACGGCTATAAACTGGGCGATCAACATACAGGACATCCTTGGTGGTGTTAACTAGACAGGAGTTCTCTTTCGTAGCTGTTTCAGTGGAATCTACAGTCCTTTCATTAACATCATGCAATATGCATAGGTGTCTCCTGTTGCAAGTCTTACAGGGGGATTTCAGGGTGCATTTCGAGGCATGATGGCTGCGTCCGCAACACCAACATCGATTGTTTTTCCGAATCCAGGACTCTTTCTGCTCTTTGGTAAGGTCTTTGAAATTAGCACACCCATTCAAGAAGTGATTGGTATTGTCACAGTAGGGGCAATATGCACTTAACCGCCCTTTAAACCTGGCAGATTTAGGTGTCACCTCTGAGGCTTGTGGTTGACTTGTTCTCCCACTCATGGGTTTCTCTGTGCCTAGCAGGATGGTTGTGGGTTTCCTGGCAGCCTTAGGATTACGATACTCCAGCCTTTTCTTGTTGCTGGGGCCTGGTGTGAAACCTGAAGTTTTGACGCCATCATCCTGAACTTGTAGCTCATACTCTAGCCAGTTAGAGAAATCGATGAGGGTTGGTATAGCTACTCTCATAGGGTGTATATATCTCTTGAAGCTAGTTCTCAGCTCATGAGGGAGTTTGCTTTGCAGTCTTGAAACATGTGACCCACAGTCCAATTCAACATTACCTTCAGGACCCAGCTGTTCTAGCATGCTCACCAGAGAACGCACTCGAAGCGCAAACAGCTTGAAAGCTTCAACATCTCCAGTTCTGATATTGGGGCCATCCATGACCTCAGCGATGTTCTGCAGGACCAGCTTGTGTGGCTGACCATACATGTTGATGAGAGCTTGCATAGTGTCCGTATAAGGGTGTGTTGAGTTGCAATATGAATCCGCTACCAGCAATGCCTCCTCTAACTGTAGATGATCTGTGAGGATTTGATATCGGAAACGTTCAGATGCATCACTGGGTAGGAGATTCTCTAAAGCCATGCGCAACCTTGAAAACTCTCGTGGATCCGATGTTGATAAGAACGGAATAGAAGGCTTAGGTCCTCGGTATGTTCTCTCTTGAGAGTATGGCACTGCAGATGGAGGCACAATCCTTGAACGCTGCATATGGTAGGATTGTCGTTGGTCTGAGTGTGAGGGATAATTCTCTCTGGGCTCATAGTAGTGGATGGGTTCACTATGTGGATGAGGCTGAAGATGAGGAGCTAGTCTTGGATTAGGGGTACGATACCTTGGCAGTGCTTGGGGCTGCTCTACTGGTAAAGGTGAGACAGTGCAATCTCTCATCTGCTCTGTTATCTGCTTAATCTGCCCAGAGGGGTACTGGGGGAAATCGCTGCTTTGTGTGGGGGACAGAGGCTGGCTATGAACTGTTTCTGGTACGTCAGGGCGAGGAGCTGGTAACCGAGCGACTGGCTTATGCTGAATGGCTACGTTTGAGGCTAGCTGCTGGATCTCTCGTTTCATTACAATATTCTCCTCTTTAAGACCCCTTAATACACTTAAAATCTCTGGCATTTGTCGGATGCAGCTACGAAGCTCATCATTCTCTCGTTGCATCTCCTCCCAGGCTGACTGCTGCGACTGATGATACTTTTCATCCTCTTCTCTCGGTGTACTTTGCCATTCATCCTGTAGCACCAGATCACTGGTTGGTGAACGCTGACTTATAGGTGTGAAGGCATGAGACTCACGTTCAGTAGACAATGGAGCATATTCTGCATTAACTTCTTCATCACTTGAATATGTAAGTTGCTGGCATCCCCTCTCAGATCCAGTCATACGTACTTGGAAGTCTGCTAGATATGCAGGAGGCTTTATATGTCTTCTGGGGCGAACAGCTGGAGGCTCTTGCTGTGAACAGGATGACATATCTGCAGTTATTCAGCCTCCGGCTCGAAGGACCACTTTGTAACTGAGTGTTTTAATTTAACACTGATTCGGGTGTATCTGAATCCCTGCAGACAGTCGGTCAGAACTGTTTACTGTCATCTATTCAAAGAAATTCACTCAGACTCCATTTCTCAGTTGAACATTTACTGATGATAAGTTGTGGTTTTCTGAAACAATACAAAAATAATCTCACATAAGCAATTATATAATTAACAATTACAACATCAATAACAATACTTATAATTATAAAACATGAATACAAATTGCAGTAACCGCATCATATGAATGGAAACATTTAGAGCAGTTGTTCCCTAACTGTCCGCAAGAGGGCGCCAATAGATCACTAAACGTGGCTGAGGCACATTTTCCAATGAAATAATAATCAACATGTATATGTAGTAAATAACTCGACAAAACGATTACATTTGTACATGTAAAGTGTTAAAATTACATGCATTAGGCATACTGCATATGAAAACAAGTTTAATTATCAACTATTATAAGTTACAACTTCAAATTCGGCCATTAGACGCTATTGCGTTATGGCGCTATGGCGCATTTCACCCGCGATCTAAAATAAGGAGACATTTACATCAACAAAACCAAATACACTTACTTTCTGTGCACGCACAACTATATACATCATTGGTTGTGTTAATCTGCATGCAACGTGAGCAGATAAGCAGACAACTTTGACTTTGTAGCGATTTCAGTTCGGCTCTTTGTCTGCTCTGCACACCTGCTTCTCTTCCTTCTCTAAGTCCCGCCCATTAAAGTGACGATGCACTTGCGTATCAGTCAGCAAGAGAATGTTCCAGAAGCCTTTTGAACAAATATAGTTCAAGTTAAAGAGACTGCAAAAGGCTGAAATAGCATGAATGCCATTGAAACAGAAATGCAAAAAACTCAGTGGATTCCCTGAAAACACACATGCATTCATACACACACACACACACACACACACACACAGACAGAATCTCTCGACTGCAATCAATTATTTAGGAGAAAATGTGTGAAATCTCCTCTGTAACCGTGATCGCATTTAAAAATTCAGCAGGTTTGTGGATCAAAGTCCTTCTTCCAAAACAGGACGGACAAGATGCACCATATGCGCAGGTTTGAGGAGAAAAGGGAAATGTTTTAGCAGCTCTTACTGTCACAAATCTAGGTTACAGAGCTGGAAAATGTCATGATGTCATATGATGTTTCCTGTTAAATATTAAAGGCTGAATAAGTTATTAAAATGAATAATTATTAAATTTAAATTGTGCTCTTGTATTTGTAGTGCAAAATAATTAATGCTTAGGACAATGTTTAAACTAATACAATAAAAAAAAATCATATTAGCATACACCGGTAACAATTTTTGTGAATTACACATGCTTTACCGTAGGACAGTAATGGTGGAATGTTAGTGTATTTTAAATGTGAAAATGACAATATATTGTACAGTAAAGATTAGGGGTGCAACGATTCAATCTACTTACGGTTAGGTATGCATCACTGTTTCAATACGATACAGTATGTGCTACATTTAGAAAAAAAAGGCTTTTCTGAAAAATTCTGAACACTTGCAATGCTGAACGAGGAAACATAATATCAACAATAAAAACAACAGAAATGTACTGTAAATCAACTGACATTAAATTACAGAAATGTACTGTAAAACAACGGCCATTAAATTACAGAAATGTATTGTAAAATAACTGACATTAAATTACAGAAATGTACTGTAAAACAACGGACATTAAATTACAGAAAATTACTGTAAAACAACAGACATTAAATTACAGAAATGTACTGTAAAATAACTGACATTAAATTACAGAAATGTACTGTAAAATACCTGACATTAAATTACAGAAATGTACTGTAAAATAACTGACATTAAATTACAGAAATGTACTGTAAAACAACGGACCTTAAATTACAGAAAATTACTGTAAAACAACTGACATTAAACTACAGAAGTGTACTATAAAACAACGGACATTAAATTACAGAAAATTACTGTAAAATAACTGACATTAAATTACAGAAATGTACTGTAAAACAACGGACATTAAATTACAGAAAATTACTGTAAAACAACGGCCATTAAACTACAGAAGTGTACTATAAAACAACGGACAATAAATTACAGAAAATTACTGTAAAACAACTGACATTAAACTACAGAAGTGTACTATAAAACAACGGACATTAAATTACAGAAAATTGCTGTAAAATAACTGACATTAAATTACAGAAATGTACTGTAAAACAACGGACATTAAATTACAGAAAATTACTGTAAAACAACTGACATTAAATTACAGAAGTGTACTATAAAACAACGGACATTAAATTACAGAAAATTACTGTAAAACAACGGACATTAAATTACAGAAATGTACTGTAAAACAACAGCCATAACATTACAGAAATTTACTTAAATTTAAAATTTCTGGTTAATTTCCCAGCTGCCGTAAATAAACCGTAATTCTTTTTTTTTTACAGTGTAGCTTCAAATGATACAATACATGTTTGTTTGTTTTTTTGTATACAACTCGAGGGGAAATTTTCTAATATTTATGTATTTTCCAATACATAACACACATTAGAAAATTGAAAATAAAATAAAAAAAGGTTTAGCATATTAAAATCAATTTACTGATCATCTGTGTTATCACATGCGTCGAAGGGTTAAAAGGGTATTCATTTTTTTACTTTATTTATTCAGCGATTCCTCCGCGAACCACAGTTTGAAACTTAATCTGTTTGGTTAAATTCAGCCCATATCAATTGTTTGTAACCACTTACTGTAAAAAATTAAAATAAAAACTGTAAATGCCATGAATAATTTTTTTCAGTGGTTTATTAAAAAACCTTCTACGGGTTAAAAATGATTATTTCGGTGAGTGTGCATTCGCTGCTGTTTGTGAACTGTGAGTTCTCTCTTCATACTCCATGGCCTGTTAAACAGAGGTTCAGCTGGTAAACGGGTGCAAATAAAGGAGAATATTTTGTGGGTGTCTAAAGGGACAAACTAATGAACAGCTGCTCGTGTCCGGATCATTAAATGTCAGACCTCTGGGGTGTATGTGTGAGTGTGTGTGTGTGTGTGTCTGTCTGTCCCGCCTCCTCAACCACACCCTGCAGACGCCCCACACGGGGACAAAGAGCCACCTCATTCACACCCCTTTCTGGACAATTAAAGCGTGACAGTCCACACACACATATACATACACACGCTTCACGCACGGCTGAACTCAGACTTCAATATCAGCAGAGGAATTGTAAATGAAGATTATAAACATTTTGTTAAATAAAAAAACAAAGGCTCAGCTGGTGTGATTGAGGATAGAGGTGTTCACATCTGCCCTAAATAATGAAGAAATAGCTGATGTTTCAGCCCATGATAAGAAAATCATATTAAAACTGTATTAATCTTGCAGGAAAAAACATCTTTAATTTACATTTAATTTCTTGCATATATATTTTTTAATATTTAAGAAAAAATATAAATTTTAGGCGAAATAAATCATATTTAATTATTTAATCCATCCAAATGTTTTAATTTAAAAAAAAAAGAACAAATTATATTTATTTTAAGGAAAATAACACTTCTTTTCAGACTTTGACAATTTTTAAAACAATTCAGTAATTTGTTTTTACTTTTAAGGAAAATTATTGTACAATGATTACTTTAAAGTGACGATGAATTAAACATTGTCATAAATTAAAAATAAATAAATAAATTAGCATAAATTCAGTTGAAAATTCATAACTTCAGAATACAGTGAGTGACAGTTCAAAATGACACTGCTGACGCATGTGGCGCTGCCACAGGACAAAGGCATTATTGAAATGTTTTCAGTATGGATGCTCCGATTAGGACTTTTGCAGCTGATACTGATTACCAATTCTTTTTCACGGTGCCGATTCGGATTCTTCAAGCTTTATATATCTGTGCCATAGCTTAAGCGCAATTACCCTTTAAATATGACATCTCGTCTTACCTAAGATAATAAATTGAGGATGTTGCATACATGTAATAGTCAGAAGCGCAGCTTTACAAAAAAATAGATAAAATAGATAAAAATGGTAATAAAAATGACTAACAATGCAATTTGGAAACGTAGCTCATGTGTTGTAGCACTGCTAGTGCATAACTCGGGCGCGCATGTGCATCTTCCCCTGCTTGTAAACTCATAAACAAACACTTGTGTTCAGTTCATGAAATCGGCCAGATCAATGAGTACCAATCGATTCCTCAAATGTAATTATCGGCCGATACAGATCTCCGGCAGATCAATCGGAGCATTCCTAGTTAGTGACACTGCAGTTTGTGACACTGCCACCAGAGGCGACAAAGGAATGAGATGCGAACCCACAGAAATATACAGTAGCTGTAATTACCCTGCTACTTGTAAATAAAGATGAAATAATGAAACAAAGCAATACAATTCCTTCATAAATCATTAAAAAATTGTTAACAAGCTTTATTATCATGGTAAACTAGATAATTCATTTTGGAAATGAAAACTAAAGAAATAAAAGACGACTAAAATTAAAGTACAAACATAAATAAATAAATAATTAAATAAATAAAGCAGTGTTTTAGCCTAAATATAGAGATGTACAGGGTTTGTTATTTTAAGTGACAGCACCAAGACAGCTAACACATAAGCTTTTTCAGTATCTCTGAATATTTTATGCATGAACTTGTTTCTTTATTACACAAACAAGAATTCAAGATGATAATAAGAGAAAATAAGCCAAATTCACAATATCAGTATCATCTAAACATTTGGTAAAACCCAAACTTATTTTGATTTTAGTGATTTTTTTTATTATTAAATATAATCACAATATAGTATTTTAACAAAAAATGTTCAAAAGTGAAACATATAAAAATATTGTTTACTTTCTACCAAAAAGGCACAAATGCAACATATTCTCACACAAAAAACACTGTCGTTTGCAGCTCTGGAAACAGCGGGTGTCATTCATAAATTAATCATAAACCTTATGTTAATTACTTCATAAACGCATGCATATTAACCACTTCTGCGGATGTGCTAATGATGCTGGTAGAAGCGACTTGATTATAATTTTGTATAATGATGTGAGATGAAGTCAGTTTCTCATAATTTACCAACCATTGCTTCATTAGTTTCCCTCTGACATACAAAAATTAATGAAAAATATCAGCAATAACAGAAAAACACCACCAAAAACACTGCAAGCCAGAGAACAAAGAAGATTATGGATAATGAGATTCATAATTAATTCTATCAACAAACTAAAGATTAATAATTCAGATATTTGACACTATCTGAATTGTCATAATGTGATTACTGCTAATTTTATTATTACGGTAGCACTACTCAAATTCATTTCAATTCAAGTTTATTTGTATAGCCATTTTCACAATCATTATAATTTTTTAAGCAGCTTTACAAAAGGTTATGTGGAATATACCAGGGAGTTAGATTTACATCTGACTTACAAGACTAATAAAAGCAAAAATGAAGAATAAAGGGTTAAATTATCACAAAAAAGATATAAAATGCAAAAAGCTAGAAAAAATATGAAGATAATGAAAACAAATAAATTTGTACTTAATATAATAAATTAAATTTAATTAAAATAAATTAAAATTAAATTAAAATACCTAAATTAAATAAAAAAAATAAAATAAAATTAAACAATTACATGAAATTTTTTTTTTAATTTTAATAAAAAATAAAATGAAATAAAAAATAAGTTAATTTAAATTAATAAATTAAATTAAACAATTACATTTAAATATAAAAATGTAAAAAAAATTAAATAAAACAAAAAGATCTAGAAATTATTTAAATTATTAAGTCAA